GGTTCTGTTGGTATAACATTCATAATGTTTCTCAGGACCCCCATGGAGACCAAACCCTGCAGATGATCAAATCCTTTATAAAAAATGGTGTAGTATTGGCATATAACCTACACAATCCTCCCACATACTTAAATCATCCCTAGGTTACTCATAAAACCTAATGCAATGTAAATGCCATGTAAAATAGTTGTTTGACTGTATTGTTTAGGGAGTAATGACAGGGAAAACGTCCATACATATTCAGTGCTGATGCAATTATTTTTTCAAATACTTTTGTTCTGTGGCCAGTTGAATTCATGGAAGCAGAAACCTTGGGTACAGCAGGAAGTCCACACCCCTCACTAATTTTGGAGGTCCCACGGCTAGGCAATACACAGTCTCCCACTAACTTTGCCACAGGTGACACCTCTGATGTGGGGGCTATGATCATGGTTGCCTAGGTGGCATTTCAGGGATCTGAGGCCACTTTTTCTGAAAACACTGACTTTTCACTTGGACCTGCAGATGCGTGATGGATGACAGACACAGGACCAACAGGCTTGGCATCTCTGCCTCCATATCCTGTCTGTCTCCTTCGCTTGAGTTCCTGGAAGATCTCCATTCTGGGCTCTCTTTCCCTGTCATTCCCTTCCTGCATCTGTGACCCTCAACCCCCCAGAGTTGAGGAGCTGATTCATGAGCAGAGCTCCCTCCTCTCCACTCTTCCCTCTCAGACTCTGGTTTTCCGTGAGTTGAGCTTCCGGGTTCCATAACCGGATGAACAGAACAAAGCCAATGGTACTGCAAGGTGACCAGGGACCAAGGAGAGCTCTTAAGTACTCACTAGATGGATGTTTGCCTGAATAGAGGGCATGACAGGGGAGAACTATCCCATCATGGGGGGTGGGAAAGGGAGGTTGAGGGAAGGAGCTGGTTTTCTCCATGAGCCACACCTGGGGAAAATGACATAGAGGGCTGCTGAGCTTTCGAAGCTCCCTGATCCTGAAGAGGGCCGAAAGTGTGGTTAGGAAAGTGGGGGAAAGAGAGAAAAAGCCAACCTTGAGCCCCCAGGACAACAGCCAGAAAGAGACCGAGGCTGACCAAGGGAGAGGCTTGGCCTTCAGAGTGGAGTTTTGATGCCTCTATAGTATGGGTGTAGTGAAGGCATCATCTGAGAACCTTCCGGAAGCCAGTGGGCCTACCTGACATCTCATCTGCAGAAGGAAGTTCCAGCCCCATAGAGTGGGCAAAACAGGCCCTTTCAGGGAAACAAAACATGGTGTTTGATTGTATCTTGCTTGATTTGAATGTGCTCCCACAAAAGCATGAGTTGGAAACTTAATCCCCAGTGTGCCACTGTTGGGAGGTGGGTCCCGTTGGAAGGTGTGTAGGTGACAAGGCTCTACGCTCACCATGGATTGATGAAACTGTAAGAGAGCTCAAGGCTGCCAGTTGCAATTCCTGCTCTCTCTCTCTCTCTCCCTTTCCCCTTCTCTTGGTGCTTCTGGTATGTGATGCCTTCTACCATGCTATGATGTGGCAAGAAGATGCCAGAGACCAGTTCCTCCATCTTGGACCTCTAGTCTCCAGAACAGTAATAAATAAATTTATCTTGTCTATAAATCACCTAGTCTCAGGTTCTCTGTTACAGTAGCACAAAACAGACTAAGACACATCTGGCAAATTCCTCTCATTTGTTGTGCCTCCTGGTTATATGCACAAGTAACAATGATCTAAGCAGAATAGCATGTCTCTTATCCTCTTCTCACACACCGTCAGACACCTGCTCTGTGCCAGGCACAGAGAAGGCTCTGGAGAATACTACAGATCAATGCCAGGAGAGGCTCTGACACTTTGCTGAGAAAACAGTGCAGTGGCACCCTGTGAGGTAAAGTTACACAGCATGTTTTGAGGATTTGATGAGGGAAGAAATCACATGGGCGTAGAGTGGAGAAGAGGGACATTTCATGGAAGAGACGTGCCCGGTGCTGGGCCACAGAGGAGCTCTGAGATCTGGGTGGGCAGTAGTGTCTGGGGGGCTCTCCAGGCAGAATAGGGAGAATGATCGCTTGGTTTGAGCCTAGAGTACAGAGAAGGCCAAATGGGTGCATTCCATTGGTATGAAAGAGAACAGAATAGGCAAATCTACAGAGAAAGTGCATTCCCGGGTGCCTGGGGCTGGCAGATGGGGAGTGACTGGAGAGAGAGCAGGGCTTTTATGGGGGCGGAGGTGAGGCGATGTTTTCTAAAATTAGATTGTGGTGAAGGTTGCACTAAATATACCAAAGCCGGTGAGCTGTATGATTTAAGTGGGTGCATTGTATGGTCTGTGAATTATGTCCCAAATAAGCTGTCAAAAAAAGGGAGAATCTAATCACAGCCAAATAAATATAGAATGATACGGTCTGTAGAAAACTCAGGATCTGGCAACACTGAACAATATGTCGTTAGGCAGAGGTGGGAAAACCTCAAAGAAACCTCAAAGTGAATGATTAGGAAGACGTCAGGGAGCGTTAGCCCCGGGGAGCAAGGAGGGGGCATCTATGAAGTGTGGGAGCAGAGAATGAATGGCAAACAAACCTGACACGTTGGATGGCTTCCTGTGTGGGGCGGTTTCACGGGTGCAGCTTTGCCACAACTCGTAGAGCTGTTAGGAACACTCTTTGAAGTTATGACAGGTTTTTAAATAAGTGAAAGAAAAGGTGGAGGGGGAAAGTCAAGGGAGAGAGAGGACAGAAAAGTGTGTGGACAGAGCGTGCAGGGTCCAGGGCTCCAGGTTGGAGACACTGGTACTGAAGGAAAGCCAAGGTGAAGGAAGGGATCCAGGCTCTGTATGCAGGAGTGCAGAGGGCAGGGAGCGGCCACAGGTGGGAGGAGCCTCCGGAGTGACGTCAGCGTCTGGCACTTGCAGTGGGGCAGTGGGGGGTGCAGGTGCTGGGGTAAGAGGGTGAGATTCCCCGCTCACGGTCAGCCCAGCCGAGCAAGTCTTGCAGAACCTGAGAGTCTGGGTTGGGAGACATGTGGACAGAGATGGGGAGGTCCTCAAGAGGGGGCTGGAAGGAAGGGAAGGTCAGCAGTTTAGCCTGGTCGGGCAAGGGGTACAAGACGCGTCCTAATCACAACATGAGGGACCTCAGGAGATGGCAGCCACAACTCCTGGTGCCTTGGAGGTTCCCAGGTCACTATGGGGCCTTTCCAAATTCTTTCTGAGCTTGGTTCCTTGAGCAACCTGTCTCTTCTTGGCTCTCTGGACTCCATATGTGGTCCCATCTGCTGTCCTCCCTCCTACAACTTCCCAGGATAAGCCATGTTGCATTTCTCGGGGGCTCAGCCCAGGGCCCTGGGGCCAGACCTGAGAGGATGCCTTCTGTATCCCAGTTCTGAAAAGTCTCCTGAATGTGTCCTTCTCAGGTGTTTAGGCTCCCGACTTCCCATCTACCTGGGAACCTTACCTGGCCCAACCTTTGAGAAGACAGAAGAAGGTTTCTGGGGGAAAGGGACTCCTAGAGGAGGCCAAGGAGGGTGAATGGATGTCATCGTTTCCAGGGGGAGGAGCAGGTGTGCAGAAGCCCAGGTGGGAGACACCATGATTGGAGCAAGAAGCGAGTCCCAAGAAGTGGGCAAAGCCCAGGTTGTTCCAGTAGTTTGGACTTGATCCTTTCCCCTAAGGGTAACTCAGGCACTTGAAGGTTTTGAAGCAGGTGGTGATACAATCAGTTTCTCCCTGCATCTGATGAGCATTTACTAAATGCCAGACGTCATTCTGTGTTTTCTACACATTATCTCATTTTATCTTCTTGGTGATTCTGTGGGGTAGATATCATTAGCCCACCCACCCACCCACTCATCCATTCATCCATCTCTTTAAAACTGAGATACAGCTTCAGGCCAATCACTATATTCATGCTTATGGGACAATGAGGGAATGGAGGAGTCCTCACTCCCAGAGGGTCACACCAATTCCTCAAGGGCTGTAACTGGAAAGGGGCAGGGTCGGGATACAAACTCAGTAAAGCAGACTCTGGGGCCTCAGTTTCTCCGACAGGCCGGGTGTTGCCTAGCTGAGCCTTACTCTTGGGGTGAGACTGTAGGTCTCAGGAGTGTCCCAAAGGTAGCAAGATGAGGGTGAGCTAGGGTTTTGATGTGAGAATGGATCCTGGGTAAGAAAAGAGGGTTGGTGAGGTTACCACAGGTGAAATGAAGAGGGTAAAAGGCACATATACGAAGGATCTGGGCCGTCCTGGGCACCTGCCACTTCTCTGCTTACTTTCTTGCAAACAACTTATTTTTTGAAAGGGATAGGAAGATGGGCAGCCACATGTCCCACTCCTAGGGATGAGCTGTGATTGGTTTAAGCCATTTATGGCTGAACTAATACTATTTTCCTGGTACTCACACTTCCTGGTCCTACCCTTTATAGTTGGTGCAGGCCCGTGACCAGGTTTTGATCAGTGATACAAAAGGGAGGTCTTTTGAGGGTTTATGAAAGATATTTGTGATCCCCCCAATGAAAGACAAGAACAGAAAGGGGAGGTCCTTCATTATCTAGCTGCCTTGCTGCATCCTGACTTTGAATGCAGTCATGATTCCTGGAGATACGGCAGCCAACTTGTGACCATGAAACTGCAAAGACAAAAGTCCCAACAAACGGAGGATGAGCGTGAACAGATGAGCTAATAACAGCAAAGACTCCTGTCTGGACCTCTTAAAATGTGGAAGAAAGGAAACCAGGAGTGTAGACTTTCCCACTAACTCTAGCTGACCACATGCTAGCTCCATAATAGACCCAGTGGGGAGGAGGCAGGAAGCAGAGGTGAAGCTCTGTGGAATGCGGGGCTGTGGTGGGGACATTGCTTTGTCTTCTGATTGTTTCATGGAGTATGAACCTTGAGGACACAGTCACCTTTTCTTTTCTGCCCTTCCCTCCCATGGTACTCTGTCATCTCCTCCTTTTCTATAGCCTACGCCAAGCCCACATGTTCAATGACCATTTCTTTTCTTTTTTCTTTTTTCGTAAACAGAGAAACTTGCCCTTTGTTGATTCTCATTGTGCTCCCATCAAACTATCAAAGATGTTGAAGGACAGAGACCTGAACTCTGCCACTGGGCTCAGGAGGACACCACAGACACTGACTTGGCTTATCATTTTGTTTAGCGCCTTGAAAGGAGGTTGGTGATGTAGAAGGTTGGATGATCCTTTGAGGAGAAAAAGAGCTGGAAAGCAAGAAACGTCAGAAAACACTCAGACGGGGAGGGGATCAGTTGCAAGAGTAAAGTGGCCACGACGTGGAAGAACAGGAGACAGGAGGAAGGAGAGCTTGGTGCCTGCCGTGCACCCACAGGTGGTCCTCAGCCAAGCCCCAGCCTCCCCCTCCTCTGCCTGCCTAGCCAGCCTCTCCTGGCTGTGAAGATGTCCTGAGCTGTCCCTTGCCTCCTGAGCGATGCAGACGCTGCTGGGTCCCCGCTCACCCCTGATGCCTCCCTGGCTTCATGTGAATAGAATCCTGTTTTTTATTTTTTATTAAATTTTTTAATATTTATTTTTCAGTTTTCGGTGGACACATCTTTATTTTATGTGGTGTTGAGGATCGAACCCAGCGCCCCACGCATGCCAGGTGAGCGCGTTACTGCTTGAGCCACATCCTCAGCCCCAGAATCCCGTTTTTAAATGCACTTCAGAGGATGGTGCTGTCCTCAGGTTGAGGACGGACTTTAAGAGCCTCTAGACCCAGGTGGGGAATCTTGGTTCCCCTCTGCTGTGGTTTGGATGTCATCTGAGCTGTTTCCCATCGGTCACAGGCTGGAGGCTTGGTCCCCGGTGTACTGGCAATGGGCCATGGGACCTTTACGACACCATTAGACCTGGAGGGCACCATCCCTGCAGGGACTCACGTGGTTCTTGTGTTCTTGTGGGAGCAGGTTAGTTCCTGTGAGAGTCGCCCCACCCCCACCCCCTCCCCGGCGCTCTTGTTTCTTCTCTCCCCATGTGAATTCCTCTTCTTTTACTTCCTGCACATCCATGATGCCATCTGCCACGTCAAGACACAGCCCCGGGATCCTCTTCAGAGGCCACCAGATGTGGCTGCCAATCTTGGACTTTTAGCCTCCAACTGTGAGCTAAAAAACAAAACAAAAACCTTCTTTTCTTTATAAGTCACCTGGCCTCAGATATTTTGTTGGTATAGCAACATGAAATGAACTAATCTCTCTAGGGGTCGGTTTATGAATGGGCATGTGACACAGTTTTGGCCAATGAGATGAGAGGGGAAATCTAAAAAGGGTCTAATGGGAAATTTTCCTTAGCTTTTGAAAGGCCAGGGGTGTGTTCCTTTTATTTATTTATTTATTTATTTTAGATTCTACTGTGCATGTGTGAGGGCAATGTCTGGAACTATGGCAACCTGGTAGGGACCATGAGAGGAGCCTACTCAAAAGGAGAAGCTAACACACTAAGGGTGGATCCCAGCCAGGTCTGGTGGTGCACAACTGCAATCTCAGCAACTGAGGAGGCTGAGGCAGGAGGATCTCAAGTTTGAGGCCAGTGAGACTCTATTTTAAAGTTAAAAAAAATAAGAAGAGCTGGGGATGTAGCTCAGTAGTAATGTGCTCCCAGGTTCAATCCACCCCCCCATGCCAAAAATTATGGGTTCTTGGCTTTGGAGCTTGGCTTTCATATCAACCAACTCTGGAAGTATTTCCCTTTTGAATTTATTAACTTATTAACCAGAGAGAGGGAGAGGGAGGGTGTTTCAGTCAACCTTTTTGCTGCTGTGACTGAAACACCTAACAAGAACAACTTTAGAGGAAGAAAAGCTTATCTATGGGCTCATGGTTTCAGAGATCTAAGTCCACAGACAGCTGGCTCTATTCCCTGGGGCTCGAGGTGAGGCTGAACATCATGGTAGAAAAGTATGGAGAAGGGAGTAGTTCACATGACGATCAGAAAGCAGAAAGAGACTCCATTCTCCAGATACAAAATGTATGCCTCAGTGATCCATCTCCTCCAGCGACGCCTTACCCACCTTCCGTTACCACTTGGTTAATCCCATGAGGGATCAGTTCACTGATTAGGTCAAGGCTATAATCCAATCATTTCTTCTCTTGCATTGTCTCACACATGAGCTTTTCGGGGACACCTCACATCCAAACCATAACAGAGGGAGGGAGAGGGAGAGACAGAGAAAGAGAGAGAGAGAAGGAAAGAAAGAACAAGAGACTGGGCTAAGAGATACACAAGGTGAGCCTGCAGCATCTTGTGGTGCCAGAAACCAAAGAAGTGCTTAAAAAAACCCACAAAAACAACAACAAGTAAATCCCCACGATGGTGTGGGTGCGTCAGAGGGATACAGGAATCTGTGGGAAGAGCACCTAAAAGCCAAAACTAGAATAGTTTGAGCAGCAAAATTATTGAGGAGATGGTATTGGACAGGTGAGATTCAAGATGGCAGATCAGAGGCAACCAGCCCTGAGATAGAACCAAAGAAACAGGTGTTAGCTGTCTGTGAGGAGCACTGGGATTAACAGGAGGAAGAAAGTGACCTGGAGAAACCCAGGGATTTGGAGTCATGGGGTAGTGGAAGGACTGACTGCAGGCCTCATGGCTGGGGAGGGAGAATCTCATCTGGTGCAGTGTGGGTGAAGAGGGGGGGTCCCAGCGAGCCTCCCCAGCGTGGGATTCAGTACCTGGTGGACATGCCGTCTAAACAGCCCAGACGCATGGGAACTGCAAAGTGAACTGGCTCAGGGACCTTTCTCTGTCCATTCTAGTACCTTCTCCCAGAGCCATGGCAGGCAGTGGTGTTGACTAGTGTCCTGTGGCCTGAGCCCTCTCCTCTGGGGGGTGAGGAACCCTTGCATTTTCCTGTCTCAGACTCTGCAGAAGTTTCACTGCAATGGCTTAGTGGGTGGCCACCTGGTGAGTCCGTGACACCTTGGCAATCCTGCTGGGGTTCTCTGTGATGGGAAGCTGGACTGTGAAGGAGAAGGGAGCAGAAGGCACTTCCCTTTAAAATCAGACGTCCAGGAAACCAGCTGTCCGAGTCTGCGGGAGTGAACAATGGCATGGGACTTCGCAGTGGGAGCCGAGTCTGGGAACACCAGGGCTGTGGGAGGAGATTGCTCAGGACTCGATGCCCCCCGCACCCACCCCCATCTCCCAGCACAGATCTCTGGGGCTCCATCCCTCTCTTCACTCCTGGGAGTGACCTAGGCCCCACAGAGCTAGCACTTGCCCTGTACTTGGAATGCACAGCCCACAAAGATAGGGAGGAAATCTTTGCTCGGCATTCTGCACCTTGTTCTAAGGCACAATCAACAGGAATCCCAGCTAGCTTCAGCCACAGATCACTCTAGCTCGTCACTTGGTGAGCACCACATTGTAAAGAATCAGGGTGAATAGCCCCTAGCCTCTGCTCTCTGTGGGGTGCACAGCCTGAGAAATCGGGAGAGAGGTTTTAATTGCTCTGGGCTGTGATCATCCACTCTCCTTTCCATCATTTGGGTGTCCTGATAGAGAGAACATTTTTATTTTTTTTTATTTATACAGTTTTATTGTTGTTGCTTTCTATTTTTTTCCTCTTTTTAGTCTTTCATTTTCTTTTCTTTGTTCCCCCTCCCCTCATTTGGCTTCTTTCCCTCCTCCTCCTCCTCCTCCTCCTCCTCCTCCTCCTTTTCTTCTTCTTTTTGATGGGGGGCGTACTGGGGATTGAACTCAGGGGCACTTGACCACTGAGCACATCCCCAGCCCTATTTTGTATTTTATTTAGAGACAGGGTCTCACTGAGTTGCTTAGGGCCCTGTTTTTGCTGAGCTGTGTTGAACTCTCGATCCTCTTGACTCAGCCTCCACAGCTGATGGGATTACAGGCATGCTGGCTTTTTTGTTTTCATTTTAAATTTTTAAGTCTTTTTATATTGTTCTTTCTTCTCCCTTTCTCTCTCCTCTCTCTCCCTCCACGGTGCTGGGGATTGAGCCTGACCGCGTGCACTTTGGGCAGGTGCTCGGCACTGATCTACATTCCCAGCCCAGCCAAGAGGACCTGCGCCTGGCTTCAGTCCCTCTGGAACCTCTGTGGATACCTCAACTTAAAAAATAGGGGAAACAAAAGCCACCAGTCAAAGACCTATTCCCAGATGGAAACCGCCAGGGAGCTCGGTCACCCACTCCTGGACAGTCATTCTCCCAGTGACAGCAAAGAGCAATGACACAGGTGCTGTGAAAACTGCCTGGGCCACGCCCACACACTGTCAGATCACCTGTCAATGACAAGATGAGGCGTGAGCACTACACAGGGGGAGTGGTGATCCCGGCCCCCACCTCACCACCCGAAGCACCAGGAACGGTGTCAGTGTCAAAACAGACAACAGCACTTCTGGCCCCTTACCACCAGCCGGACAGTCAGTGTCAGAATTGTTTTCAAGTAACGGCCAATACCAACAGGGCCTGTGGAAAGTCCCCATCCCTGGACAGGGGCTTCCACTCCCATTGTGGACAGCACCCCACATACTCTACTGTCCACAGCACATCTCCTTCCATTACTGAAACGACTCCACTCTTAGAAAACCACAGAGAAGGTGGGTCACTCAGGTTCTGAGATGGTTTACATTATGTCAAACTCACAAATCTCAGCCACAGGGGGATTCCTCTATGAAGTCCGATTGGAACTGAACTCAGTACTACACCACAAACTGGCACCTCAAGACCTGTCATCAGGAGAAGTTTGCTTGTGTGAGGCCTCACACAAAAGTTGAAGAGATAGCCGTCTCAGCAGGTGCTCCAATCTCAACACAGAGGCACAAGGAACATGAAAAAACAATGCAGTTTGACACCTTCCAAAAGTTCATAATTCTGCAGTAAGAGAACCCAAAGATATGGGACAGGATGAAATGCTGAATAAATAGCTCATGAAGGGTGGTTTTTAAAAAAAAAGCTCGATGAATTCCAAGAGAATACATATAAACATGTATTAAGAAAGACAATTCAAGATATGAATGAGAAATCCAGTAAGTCCAATAAGAGATAGACAATTTGAAAAAGAATCAGACAAATGTCTCGGAAATGAAAAGTTCAGTAAGACAGATTTAAAAACTCAGTTGAAATTCTCACCATCAGACTAGCTCAAGTAGAAGAAAAATATCATAGTTTGAAGACAACTCTGATGAAATATTACATTTAGCCAGAAAAAAAAGGATGAACAGAGTATATGAGATTTTGGACATCATTAAAAGATGAAGCATACATATTATTGAGATGCCTGGGGAGACCTCTAGGCTGAAGGCATAGAAAACCTATTCAATGAAATAATAGCAGAAAATTTCCTGAATCTTGGGAAAGTCATGGACATTTAAGTACAGGAAGTGTTAAGAATTCTAAATAGACATGAATAGAAAAGAAACTCTCTATGACATATTATAGTTAAATTGCCAATATTAAAGTACAAAGAAAGAATATTAAAAACCGCAATACAGAAATGCAAAGTCACCTTTAAGACAAATCCATTAGACTAAAAACATATTTCTAAGCAGAAATCGTAAAGGCCAGGAGGATGTGGAACAATGTAGTTCAAGTCTTGAAAGAAAATAACTGCCAAACAAGATTGCTATACCCATAACTTTCAGAATCAAATAAGAAATAAAGACCTTCAAGGTAAGCATAAACTAAGGGAATTCATGACTACAACAGCATCAAGAAGATATTTAAGGGACTGTTACCCCAGAAGACAAAGAAAGATAAATACAAGAGAGGCACATGAAAGAATAAATCTTACTGGAAGAGAAGACATACAAATAAATAGGAAAAAATTAAACATTATCAATACAGTAAACCATCAAACTTCTATGCTGAGTAAGAGAGTAAGAAATGAACATAGAATATTCAAAACAACCAGAAGAAAATCAACAAAATGACAGGAACAAATAAAAATAACAACTCACATTAACAGAATCCATATTAACAGAATAGATAAAAAAGAAATTTTAAAAAGGAGACCATATAATCATGTCAATAGATACAGAACAAGCATATTGCAAAATTCAACTTCCAAATTTCTAACAGAAACTCTCAGCAGCCCAGAAATAGAAGAAAATTCTACCAACCTGATGAAGGGCATCTATGGAACCCATAACTGACATCTTATATATTGAGGAACGTAGAACGCTTGACTCTGAATATCTGGTACACAATAAGGGTTCATGCCATTCTATCAAACATTATACTGGAGTTTCTAGCCAGAAAAATAATGCAGGAAAGAAAGAAATCTCATCTACATTATTCAGTAAGAAGTAAATCTGACTTTATTTGCAGATGACATGTCATCTGAATAAAATTCTATGGAATCTATAGGAAAGATTCTGAAACCAATGAATGAGGTTAACATGGTTGCAGGATATAAGATTAATATACAAAAGCTAATAGCATTTCCACATATTATCTACAAACAGATATTGAAAACTTTAGAATATACAATTTACAATATTGAATTTGGAAGATACAATTATACAACTTTGGAATATACAATTTACAACACTTGAAGTTGTAAAAAACCTGACACTGAAAACCATATAACATTGCCCAAATAGATTAGAGACCTAAATAAATAGGGAGATATATCATGTTTATGGGTTGAAAGACTTAATGTTGTTAGGATGTTAATTATCTCCAAATTAATCTACAGTTATAATGCAATTTCAATCAAAATCACAGCAGGATTCTTTTGGGATAGAAACTACTAAACTTTTAATTTCTAAAATTCATATGCAGGGGCTGGGGATGTGGCTCAAGCGGTAGCGCGCTCGCCCGGCATGCGTGCGGCCCGGGTTCGATCCTCAGCACCACATACCAACAAAGATGTTGTGTCCGCCGAGAATTGAAAAATAAATATTAAAAAAAAAATTCTTAAAAAAAAAAATAAAATAAAATTCATATGCAAATGCAAAGAACCCAGAATGACTTTGAAAAATAAGAGGGAAGCTGGAGAACTTATACCAACTGACTTCAAACTGATTACAAAGTTACAGTAACCAAGACACATTGTAGCAGTCCTACACAGACAGATAAATAGACTGGAAAGTCCAGAAATAGGTCACTTATATATAGACAGCTGATATTTGACAAAGGTACAAAGGCAATTCAGTGAAGAAAAGATAAGTTTTCTTCATAGATGGTGCTGGAATAATTGTACACCCACATGCAAAAATATTAACTCTAATCAACACCTTATATCATGTACAAAAATAACTGAATGGATCGCAGACCTAAATGTAAAGTTATAAACTTTCAGAATAAAACATAAGAGAAAATTTGTAGTATCCCCAAACTGGAAACAACAGAAATGTTCATGGACAGATGACTGGATAAGCAAACTGTAGGTATAATTATACAAGAGAATATTATTACACAATAAAAGTGAGAGGACTATTGAACTGACACCTGCAATAACATGGCAGATGAGATATGATTCCATTTGTTGTAATATTCTAGAAGAACAATTATAGCAACAGAAAGCTGTCTAATGGGTTGAGCAGGATGGGGAAGAAAGAGGGAGGGCACGAGGAAATTTTCAAGAAGATGGATGTGTTCGTTATCCATAATTGATTATGTGGATGTTTTTATGCATGTACACGTGTGTCAGCATGTCAAGCTACACACTTTAAATTTATGTGGCATATTGTATATCAATTATAACTCAGCCAATCCGATCCATAGGAAATACTCACCAGTACCATAAAAATGTATTTGTAGGGATGGTCATTACAGAAATATTGATAGGAGCATAAAAATTCAGAGGCAGATTAAAACCCTTAATAATGGGAAGATATGAAGTAAAATGTTCTTTGACACTGTAAAAGCAAGTATCACACATTTATGTTACATAAGATTTGTGATAAACTTACTGATCCAGAGAGAGCTACACAGTTTGAAGAAAAGCAATTGTAAGATTTTGAAGTATAATCATAATTCAGCCACTACTTCCCACTCACACCCACCTGTAGATAAAATCCTTGAAGGAGATGTAGTAAATTATCCAGTGGGTTGTAATAGGCAGGAATACTGTAGGTATTTTTTGTATTCTTATTTATTCTTTTGGCCCCTCCCCATATTCACCACATTTTATAACAGCTATAATCAACAATTTTACCCAGAAAATAACTGCTGTGTGTGTGTGTGTGTGTTGCTGGGGATGGAACCCAGGCCTCACACATGTTAGGAAAGGGTTCTACATCCCTCAGCCAGAAAACAAAAAAATTTTGAGACAAAGTACTGCCCATATTGGTGAAAGTATCTGTTCATAGATCATTAGCTGCTAGACGCTTGCTCACGTTTGAGCCTACGCATTTGTGGTGGGTGGCAATTTTGGCCGCAGTGGTTTGTTCCCTCCTTGGAGGTGGAGTATATTGTCAGACTTAGCCCCGTGTCTCACTTTAGTCAGTGCAATGTGAGCAAACCCAGTTAAGGCTCCAACAGAGTACAAGCTTAAATGTACAATTGTGAGTTCCGCCTGGCCCCTTGTGCCCCTGCTTTTTGCAAAAGAACATCATGAGGCTAAGGGCTGTTCCTTCATTCTGGGTCTCCCAGAGTGAAAGACAGCTGTGGTAGACTTGGAGACCTTCTACCACCTAGAGCAAAGTCACAGCTGACCTGTAACCCTGTGAAACAAGAGCAGGAGATAAAGGGTTGATGTTGGAAGACCGAGATTTGGGTTTTTCTTGTTACCCTGCAAAAACTGATCAATGCCTATCGATTATCAAATCTTATAAGGCATAGCATAGCAGTATGAATACTATTGAATCTTGAATCCTTGAAAAGATCAAGAGCCTTTTGTTTCCTATATTCCACATCAGGGTGCAGAGGTGAATGGATGAGTTTTGGGGCCTTGAAGCTGGTGTTGGGGGTGACCCCTATGGGAGAGGGGCAAAAAGAGGACTTTGGAAATGGGGTGGTGGGATGAGAGAATGGCAGCGAAGGATAAAGAGGGTAAGAAAGGAGTCATGCTGCAGAATGGTGGTGGAAAGGTGGGGAGAGAGGAAGACGCAGGGGACAGCAGGTGCAGCTAGAGGAAGATGGTGGGAAGTTCTCCTCCCCGCCAGGTGTCCTTTCCCTTCTAAAATCAAGGGTGCTTTTGCTTCTTCCCCAAATTCTCCACTTATTGCCAAAAGCTCAGTCCTTGTTCCCAGTTCCAATCCAATAACAAGGACATGGTTTTGAGAAAAAGGAAAAAAATAAGGTTTATTGCTTTGCTAGCAAAGGAGAAACACAGGGGACTCCTACCCTGAAAGCTGTGATTCTGCCCATCATGGGAAACAGGGAGGGGTTAGAAAGGTGATTCAGAGAAAATGAGATCAGGTGGAGAAGATCAGGGAGAAGAAGATTGGAAAAAAGAAAAAAAAAAGTAAGTTTCAAAGCCCTAAGGGATATAGTCAAAGCATTAAGTGAACCCCTGTTACACTCTCACCTCACTTCTTGAGTCAGAAACTCGGAAATACCCTAATGTGCGTTTCGATGACCGTGTCTGTGGATGTTCAGGGCACCAAGGGGTCCACATTTCTCTCTTATGCAGAGAAGGGATCCTTTTTAGGCTGTTGCGGGCACATGGCTTTCCCCTGCTGCCTCTGAGTCTTCCCTTCTTCTTAACCCAGAGGTTTCTGACCCTCAGATCTACTCTTTGCTCTTCTGTGGACATAATTCTCCCCAGGGAATCTGCGAGTGTCTTTAGCTTTGTCCCGTTGTTGGAAAGCAGATAATGTGATGTCCTCAACATAAGACATTTTGCTGAACACTGAGATGTAGGTGGCAAGAATTTAAATTCATAACTAATAACCAGCTTGTCTTTATTAAAAATACTTTAAAGACTTTTTTTTTCCAGAAGAAAAAAAAATCTATCTAATTATGCACAAGAGAAATTCACTTATAATTAATTCACTAGGAATTAAACTGAAAAAAAGGTAAGGATGTTAACAATCCTTTAAAAAATAATTCAAATTAGAAACACTAATTATAGACACGCCTTTATATAACATGAGACACAGCTCTCTGAGGCATGGGGAAGAGGGTTAGCTATGAAGCAAACTCACAGAGAACAAAATTTCTGATTTATGGTGGAATTTGTGTGAATGGGAAATTAAATTTCCTTCAAGAAGGTACTGTCTAACCCTGATAATAATCTGTTACTGGAGAGCTCACAGGACATAAGACTGACATTCAACTCTGGAACCAGGGTCTGAGGGTTGGCCATCTTGGATTTAGGATGTCAGTAAAGAAGGAGCCCAAATGCTTGAGGTCCTCTGATCTGAGTAGTCAGAATCAACTAGACAATACCAGACTGCATGGTATATGTGCATAAGGTGTTATGGGTTGAACCATGTCTTCTCTGCCCAATTCATATGCTGATGTCCTAACCCCCAGTAGCTCAGAATGGAACCTTATTTGAAGGCAGGGCATTTTAAAGGGGTGACCAAAGTCAAATTAAATTTGGGATGGGCCCTAATTTCATATGATTGGTATCTTTATAAGAAAGAGATCAGGACACAGATGATCATAAAGGACAAGAGCACATGAAGACAGAGGGAGAAGGTGACCATCTACCAGTCAAGGACAGAGGCCCTGGAGACATGCACCCTGCTGACACCTTGATCTTAAGACTCCAGAATTGTGGGACAAGATGTTCTGTTGTTCAAGCCACCCAGGCTGTGTGTGGTGCTTTCTTATGGCAGTGTTAGCAAAGTAACACAAAGGGTAAAGGGTGTAATTTGATAGATTTTTAATTTTGATTACACACATACTTGTTAAAGAATTATAGCCCAAAATGATTGGAAAACACGGGGTTAGTGTGAGCCCACAGGGCTTCACCTTCAGGGATTGAACAGGATAGCCCTCTGCTCCCTTGAGGTAAGGACTGGAAAGATAGGAAGTGGGTCCTCTTGTTGCCAAAAGATCAGTCCTCGTCCCCGATGCCAACCCAATAATGGGGACACAGTTTTGAGAAAAAGGAAAGAGACAGTTTATTGCTTTGCTAGCAAAGAAGAAACACAGGGGACTCCTGTCCCAAAGGCTGTGATTCTGCCTAGCCGCAGGAACAGGGGGCTTCTATAGAGGTGATTCAGAGAAAATGAGTTTCGGGGGAGAGATCAGGAAAAGAAGATCAGGGAAAAGAAGATCAGGGAGAAGAAGGTTGGGAAAAAGAAAAAAATATGTAAGTTTCAAAGCCACAAGGGATATAGTCGAAGCATCAAGTGAACCCTTGTCATACTCACTTCCAGCGCATGCAGAGGGCTGCTGGTTTCCCCTCAGTGGAAACCCCTGGCCTGGCAGAGGGAAATCTCTTTTATCACATTTGTGTAATTCAGTGTTTCTATTTTACCAGGGTGACAGGAAAAAAAATCTGTTTCAGAACAAAGCAACGATCTATAAATGCAAATTATTTATAATGATCGTTTTAAAGGGAGCAACTTATTACCCAATGACCTCAGCCATTTGGAATTCACCCAGGAGCCTGGCAGAAAGCAAAAAAGTTCACGTGTCAGGAAGACTCAACGTCAAAAGAACCCATGCCCTGAAGTTTACTTTCTTTATTCACAGAAAAGCTCCTTTGTCCCTCATTTGGTCTCTTTATTCTTATTTTAGACCCTAGTAGTGTTGCCAAAAGCTCGGTCCTTGTCCCTGATGTCAATCCAATAACAAGAACATGGTTTTGAGAAAAAAGAAAAAGAAGGTTTATTGCTTTGCTAGCAAAGGAGAGACACAGGGGACTCCTTCCTGTTCCAGAAGCTGTGATTCTGCCCATCAGCAGGAACAGAGGGCTTTTAAAGAGGTGACTCAAAGGCCACACATGCTCTGTTGGAGTTGTAATTCACTGGTTAATTTGGGAGACAGCCATTTCTGAGACCTTCTGTTACCAACCCCAAATCTGGATTACTTCATTCCTGTGGTGGGTGAAAGCTAGAGGTGGGTGAGCAAGAAATGAAGGATGGAGACCAGGCAGAGATCCACACGAAAGTTTGTCAAAGCTGACAAATAAAGGCCATCTCTCTATAGACAGGAGAGAGGCCCCAAGATGTTCAGGGGTTCAGCTTTGGTGGGGTAGGGGTTTGGAGTCATAGCTGTGGCACTGTGATATAGACTGGGGGTGCTTGCGTCAGAGCTAGGTGGGTGGGAATAGCATGGGATTGGCTTAGGTCAATGGCACCATGGGGTTTTCCAGAGCAAAGGGTCCTGTCCTTCTGGGATTGATAAGGTTATGGAACCACAGGGGGAGGTCACTAATGGGGGTGGGGGGAGTTCAGGTTAGAGGAAGTCCAGGAAAGTGAAACTT